CAATTGGATTTTCCAATGAAAAGAAAACGCGATGGCTCGCGGATTCCTCGCTCAGTAATTTTCACTTATTTTATTCACCCTGCTGGAAGGTGTTCTTGGGAACACTCGCACCTCTCAACGCCCTTCCTTAGCAAATGTGAGAGTGGTTTCACTGCTGTTTTGCCGCAAGAGATATCGAGCAGATATCTCTAAGGATTGAAGGCATGGGTCGGGATCGGACTGGTGTGTTAGACTGCCTGGAAATTAGGTACATGAGGGAGATTAGTGGGGAGAAGAATTAAAAAGCATAATAGATAAGACTAAGTTTCCCTTATGAGACCGCCGTGAACGGAGAGACAGTTGCTGGAGAGGAAGTTCATGTGCTGTATGGTTTTTTTTTTCATCTTATGCTGTGTGTTTCAGCTTCAGTTCTCTGTTTAGCTAATTAAACAATCCAGGCAAGAACTTTGTTCGAGACAATAACAAATTTCTTCAGCAGCAGAGATGATGGGTTATTTGTCGACATATTACAAGAAAACAATGCTCGGATGGGGTTTTTTGATCGGCTTCCAAATTCAGCGACAACGATCGTTTCAGATATCTTACGAAGGTCATGCCGGATTCGCTCGAGTGAGTTGTGGTTTTTCCAGTTTTCTTTTGAAAAAGACCTCTTCGAAATTGCCTGATGTTTTGTTTGCAACAAAGTGCTACTAGAAGAACAGCTTCAAAAAACCCATAGACCTATCTTAGGTCTGAATCGGCTAGATCTCTTGGTTGTCTGGTTTGTTGGCCGCTGCATTGGAAATGCAGCCGACAATTATAAGAGACAACCAAAATCAACAAATATTATACCCCAAATCTGCTGATTTTTTTATTCATCCCCATCGATTTTAAATTCGTCACGATTACAGTTTCGGCTTTCATTCGAGGTAGGTAGTACTATAACTTGGTCGCGCTGTGAATGACACTTTACCTGATGAGAACTGCAGCAGTGAAGAAAAGCAAGAGAGCGGCCCATAGAAGACCCTACAGGAGGTTCGTCGCGCGGCAAGAAGGCAGAGACGCAGACGGGTCAGCGGACGAGTCGCAGCGTGTGCTGTGTGATGTGGGACGTACTACAGTACATTCTATTCAACTTGACGCGAAATCACTGCAGTACGCGCTGCGACTCGTCCGCTGACCCGTCTGCGTCTCTGCCTTCTCGCCGCGCAACAGACCTAGACCGACAGGAGGCCCGTCGCGCGGCAAGAAGGCTTTCAGCGGACGAGTCGCAGCGCGTACTGTAGTGATTTCGCGTCAAGTTAAATAGAATGTACCATTGTACGTCCTACATCGCACATCACGCGCTGCGACTCGTCCGCGACTCTGCCTTCTTGCCGCGCGACGGGCCTCCTGCCAAGGGCCAACTTGCCTAACACCCCGGCTTAGAGGTAGCAAACGAAAGTATCTTTTCCCCGCAGATTTCCGCATTGGGCAAATTTCATCGGTGCAGACAAAATCAACGTCAATCCTCGGCTCTACCTCTATGTGTGGAGTCTGACGTCGAGGCACCAATATCTGGACAGCCTGTTGGTGGGCTTTGACAGAGGAGTCATTCCCGCCGGCAAGGTGCTGTTAGCCGCTAAGGGCGCAGCCCGTAAGCGCGTAACTCGCGTCTATTTCAGGGAATTCCCTCCATTGTATCCATATTCCCTTTTTCTGACCTTCAATTCATCATTTCACCCGCGTTCGAAGGCATGCATGGTAATGGACACTGCCTTTGTTGATGCTACTACTATGTATACGCTCCAGAAGACAACCTGAGATTATGAGAGACTGAGTACTGACAACTGACAAAAAATTTCAGAGAGCTGCGAAGAATTGAAGATCGAAAGCGAAAAAACATGATGGCGGGGAGGTCGGCAAGAGGAAGTGCGCAGTTGTCGGCTGAAAAATTAGAAAAAATAGAAACTCAAACGTGAAACCGTAGTATAACATCTTTCAACTTCTTTCGTCATGACTGTTTTCTCCATGAAAGGTTTTTTGATCGAAATTTCAGAATGATGTACGGTTTGCTGGAAGTCTTCAAGATGTTTGAATGGAACCGTGTGGCCATCTATTATACACCAAATGAAGTGAACTTCTGCGACACAATTATCGACGATGCTCTTGTACGTTAGTGAAGCAGCAGCACTTCACAATCCAGCAAACTCTCTTCCCTCCTTTTCAGACGGCTTTCAGCGATGATTCCACCTACGTGGTAGATGTGGTGCAGAAGGTTGCGTGGAACGGTCAGGATGATGACTACATCACCGATCAACTGCTTCGTACTAAGAAAAATGCAAGAAGTGGGTTGTCTCAGAAGTGTCTTTCGCTTTTGCTACACACCGTCAGTACATAGTAGATTTGCTGCTAGTGTAGCACTTGGCTGCACTTCGCGGGTGGAAATAAGACCTTCAAAAACTACGAGACGTTGGCATGAAGAAAATACTTAAAGGAATCTTCACGGAAAAATCATGATTCTATTTCAGCCATAAATCACTGGCTTGAGACTCATTATCCACGATAAGAATGAAAAGAACAGAAATATTGCTTTCGTTTTGGTAAAAATTCGAAAAATCGAAAGGGCTGCTACGCGTTCAAATGCCCACGGACGTCTTTCACAAATGCTGGCGACGGGGATGCTTCCACTTGGTTCTTGGAGTGCCTTCACTAGAAACTCTTTCTGGCCTTCTGCTTTATTGCATTCACATCTTACACTTCTACTCCATCCTATTCTATCGATCGATTTGTCTCTACTCTCCAAAATCGCGCGCTTTAACCCGATTCTTTCATTGCGTCGCCTGATACGTAGCCGCCAAAGGCCAACTTCTTTCCATGCCTCGCCTTTGGCTCCGCCCGAATTACCTTCGATTGTCCATAGAGTGTAGTTTTTGTACGTTTGCTTTTCTTCGGAAGCAGAATCTTCATGCTTGAACACTGTGTGGTGATCCAGATTGATCAACGCGATCAATTCATGTCAAGAAAAGATTGCAGTAATTTATTCCGCGAAGGATCTTAACCATTGACAATGCATTTTCGCTGCTGCCCCCGTGACCGCGCCTTTTTTGACATTTCGAAAAATGTGTCATAATGCGGCTAACCACCTGCACCAAAAATGTTGAATCTTGAAGCATGAACTGTTATAACTTTGCAAGTTTCGTATGATTGCAGACCGCTTCCAAAATGAGCGTGGATCTTTAGGTTTTGCCAAGGGTGTATTTTGGAGCATGCCAGAAAAACTTCAAATCTCCACTTTAAAACCCGTAAATGAGGTCGGATCCAGATCTCTCTTTGTGAAATGTTGTAGCATTACTCTAACTGACTCCAGGCGAAAAGCCAGCCGGATACATGCAAAAATAACCAGGCGAAAAGCCAGCCGGATACATTCAAAAATAACAAGCTTTGCCTTGGAAAATCACTTTCAAGTACCGCTCGTGTAAAACATCAACTAAGGAAGATATGCACTGACCATTAATACCGTAAGTATGACAACGCCTTCCTGATTAGTATGCTATTGGAACACTTCTGGAAATCCTGCGGAGAAGAGTTATCTCAATGCTGCGTCCCCACATCGAGCCGCATTGTCCGTCGTGGCAAAAAAAGTGCGTCCCCGCGTCGAGCCGCAATGTCGCCAATGGGTTAAACAAGCAGCGAGCAAACTATGGCTATATACACTCACCAGCAATAACGAAGAAAATTCGCGTTATCCAAGAAGAAGGATTGGACCAATAGGTATGAAGCATTCATCAGAGCAGTGGTGTATGGTGAGGCTTATTGAGTGAGAACTTTTGATAACAATCATTTTATTTGAAATTTCTTGAAATGCCGATGCCCTTTGAAAGGGATCGGGAATTTTCTAGCCCGGCGTTCAATATTTACCTTTCAAAGTATGAGTGAAATCAAAGTAAATTCCTGATGTTTACATAGTTCATACTGTGCTTGGATACGGCGCGGGGTCGGCGCGATTTCATGAAGAAGGCCTCCGATATGGACATGATTTCGGAGGAATATGTTTTCCTGATGTTGAGCATGCGTAGCGTTGGATTCGGTCGGTTTGGTTAGCTTTTCCCCTCCTAGTCCTTTGCTAATTTATTCAATCAAAACATGCTTTCAGGTCAGGCAGTAAGGGGAATCGAAGAACGTGAGTAGTTTAACCCTTTCGGACCTGAATTTTTCCCCGTGGAGAAATTTTTCTTCTAGCTATTGTTTATTACTTGTGAGCATATAGGTATCATTATGGCGAAATTTGGAAGCTATTCGATCACAAACAAAGAAACTAAGAAGCTTTGAAAATTGGCCCACCTTCTTAGTTTTTAAGCTTATGTCGAAACAATTCGAAATTTCATAGTTATGCCGAAAAAGTTTATAATCTTGCATAACATTATAACCCATAATTTTGATTTAGGAATGGATCTACTTCAAGTATTTTAAGAAAAAGTCACACTTACTTGGCCGGTTGCGGGGGTCAGCGCCCATTCACTGTTGCACTTGTACACAAATACTTGCAATACTAACAGCAATAAACAATGAAATGGCCGGTTAAGCTCATAATTAGGAAGGGGAAGGTTGACTGAAGCAAACTCTAGCAGGATTAGAAAAACCATGCTGTTTCAGCGGAAATGCAAGCGTTTGAATTTGGTGGTGGCAATTGCCACCGCCAGGGCCGAAAGGGTTAATGTTGCTTGCATCAATTTTTTCTTATGAATACTACGTGAGATAGCGGCCGCATATTTGGCAGCGATTTATGGTTGGCTCGATTATCATGCGGATCGTCGATTAGCGATTAAGTTGCTGATTCGAGAAAAAATGCGCTTACGTTTCCGATCTGAACGAAATACGCATAAGTGATTTTTTAGGCATTATGGCGAATTACGCAAGTTAGGCGAGTAACTGTGAATAGTGAGCAAGGAGAAGGCATGCATTGATTCGCTCCAAAATCGAACAATCGCCTGATAATCTGCTTTCGATCGTTTATTCACCGTAATCTATACGTATCTTTCGTTATTTGAATTCAATCACCTAATCGCACCTCGGCGTGTACGTTTTCACCCCGACGCTGCCAGGCCTGAGAGAGCAGGGTGAAAATCGTGTCGAGTACGTGGTCGCAGAAGTACGACCCCCCCCCCCCGAAATCGAGATCCTGGCACGACCCCCTAAAACAGAGCAAATTAATTCAATTAATTAATCAAAATAAATCCTGCAAAATAAATCAAAAAAATCCTGCAAAATAATGTTATGGACGCCTCATCTTGTCATCTGTGCACTGTCTTTCATCGCTGCACACTTTTGTGTATTTACTGAAATATCGACTCGAGGAAAGAGGCATTAACTTTGTCGCGCCGGCACGGACGCCTCCCTGCTAGTCGCATAAGCATCGGGGTTCACCCGGCGAAGGAGCGGCGTCGGTGTCGGCGTGAGGGTAGCTACGGGGACTTACGCCGCGCTCGCTGCCCGCCACTATGCCACGCGGACACCTAATAGGCCTGAGCAGCCCCGACTGGCAGTACGCCAAGATCCGCTACGTATTGCAGTGCCATGGACTACGCCGAGATATTTACTGTCCCTTTATTAGCGCGCTACGAGGAATTACTGGCCCGGCCTACGAGCATTACACCGACTATGAACACACTAATCATATTAATAAATAGATAGTTTGGTGCGGATCAACCGCTACGATATGAACACTACAAGAAAATATACCATAGATTCATATGATCTTGAAACTACGATGAAAATAAACGACTAACTACAACATAATGCGGCTACTACTCAGGACTCACGGGTCGAACCCAGAAAGTGCTTCTTACGCGGGGATGACGTGGCTCGGCTCCGATGTTCTTCGACGGGCGTCCATGCCCGGAACCATTCGTTGACGTACGAACACTGGAGCACAAGTGGCGACGACAGACAGCAACGGCCAGCGGCTACACTCGACGGCGGCAGCACGTAGACTGAAGACAGGCGAGGGCGCGTGCACTCTGCGTCCCTGACGTTCTTCGAGAGACTTCGACAGCGCGGGCGCGCCAGGACCCGCGCACACCCGACCAGGCGCGACTTAGTGAATATCGACTCGAGGAAAGAGGCATTAACTTTGTGTGACCTCAAAGTCAGGTTCGTTCAGAAATGCACAGAAATCCTGAAGGCACGGGGTTGCGATTTAATCTTGATTCCTGCTTGAGTATATCGAAACAGCCGAGTGTATCAAAGGCCGATTCAACGGCAGCTGCGGCGCGATTGTCACTGGGTCAGATTTGCCGAAATTTCAAAAAAAAACCGTCCGAATCTACACCCTCGATGAAAAGGTTGCATTCCTCCATTTCACAACCTTTGAAGCAGCTTTGAGGTAGAGGTTAGATAGAGCTGGATTTCGCGTTCCCAAGTATTGAAATTGCTCTAAAGTTTCCATGCAGAAAGATAGGGTCTCTCAAATTTCGTCGAGTAAACGTCGAGGACGCTGAAATTTTCACGCGAGTTTTTGCCACTTCAAGAGCAATATCTCTCTTAAAACGTGAGATCCTGAAAAAGTGAAGATAGTTTTGGAAAGCGGAAGGTTTGCGCTTTCTGATGGTCTTCTTAGCTTTCTTCTACATTCCTAGTTGAGAAGATATCTGCGTCGAGTATGTATCGAGGACGGATCCGGCCACCTGAAAATCCGCTCCCTTCTTCACCATTGCAAGTGTAATTGTTGGCAACGCTTGAAATGGGTCTAGAAAACATCCTCCCAACATAAGCAATAGGAAAAGGGGCAATCGTCATCATCGAATTTTGTCTGAGTATAGGCCATGCATCCGACCTCACTCGAAGTTGCAGAATCGATTCGAAGGTGTCATATGATCATGACCAGTTGACAGAGCTGCATTATGTAAACGCACGTAACTCCTACAACCTGAAGAACAACTTCATTTGCCCAGGGCTTTTCCTTCACGGTTGTCGTTTTTGCGACAGGATCCCTAACAACAGTGCCATTCTCAGGAGCCTTAAAGGAGGATTGCACGGAAAGAACGAAGGTCGAAGAAGGGAGAAATCGCCTAGTGGGGAGAGCGGTGAATCTCTTGAGGGTGCGGACAGACACGCAATCGGCATCGAAAGATTTGACCTCTGAGATCTAGCATGGCTCAAAGTTGGCGAGTTCGGCGATCTCCGCCCACCGATCGTCTGATCACTCGCCGTAGTACAATAGGTGGCGAGTGATTAGATAGCTGAGAGAGCGTAGGGTTGAAGAGGGCAAAGCGATGAGAGTCCCATCAATGCTCAAATCAACGGACAAGGAAGGGGTCCCATTTCTCCGGTTCTGGGCCGTTT